GCAGATGATTCAGCATTGAAAGACTGATCTTTTAAAAATATCATTTTCATCATATCAAGTATGTACCATGGCTCCCTATAGCTTGTTACAAGTCCCAAACCCTTCTGATATTTACAGTCATCTACAATTTTGTTCCATTTAACATGTCTATTCTACCTCCTTTTCCTTTCTGACATATGTCCTCCTCGCCATTCAGGCAACACTTTTTATTGTCTTCTACAAATTCTTATTCTTGCCTTGGTGTCTTTGTTCATGCTAACTTCTCTACCTGGAATTACCTTCAACATGAACCATATCCCACTCCACCTGGAACCCTTTCATTCTTGCAATCCAACTTGTCACCTCTTCATAAATAGCCTTCACTGAATAAACAAGCCCACACTAATTTTCTGTAAAGTCCTATGGTATTTTTGGTCAGTGCTACATACTTGGCAGTTAATTAGACTTGAATGCACAGAGTTTAGTGTTGTAATCAAATAATGTCTACAATAAAGTTAATCCAATATACTTAATGATGTGCATAATCATTATTTGCTGAATGATAATCAGGCATAAGTGGTAAGGCAGATGGGAAAACCTGAAGTCAAATTAATTTTTCTTCTTGATTTTGCCCATGATCATCTCTATGAGAGTCTTGACACTTTGGCCCCTCATTCTGTATTTTTTTATTTTTGGGCGAGGCAATGGGGTGAAGTGACTTGCCCAGCATCACACAGCTAGTAAGTGTTAAGTGTCTGAGGCCAGATTTGAACTCAGGTCTTCCTGAATCCAGAGCTGGTACTCTATTTACTGTGCCATTATCTGCCCCCCTCATTCTGGATTTTAAGAGACAATATCTAGATTCTTGTGGAGATTTCTGTCAAGAGTAAAAGGAACAGGGATTCATATATACTTTTAAAAATCTGCTTGTCCCTGGGTCTGTTGGATTAAGTTGAGTGGTATGATTTAAAGGAAGGGATCTCTGATCCAAAACAGCTCCTTCCCATTGCTTGATATTTTATTAGTTAAGGAGATGCAGTGTATTGCAGTGACAAGGGCGTGGTGGTTGGCAGACATGTTTCAATTCCACATCAACTACTTGCTTACTTATGTAGCCTTGCTCAAGTAAGCTCATATCTCATTATTCTAATCTCTAAAATGAAGGAATTGAACTCAATGTTTTCTATGGCCCCATCTAGCTTGAAATATAGTGGCTCATTGGGTTAATAAGAGCTCCCCAACCCCTATTAGGGTTTAGGAGGCCAAGGTTTGGTATTACAGCAAAATCAATTAAAAATGGTAGGAGGGGGCAGCTAGGTGGCATAGTGAATAGAGCTCTGGCCTTGGAGTCAGGAGGACCTGAGTTCAAATCTGGACTCAGTTGACACTAACTAGCTGTATGACCCTGGGCAAGTCACTTAACCTCGGCTGCCTCACCAAAAAACAACAACAAAACAAAAGCAGCAGGAGAATAGATGTTACCAGGCACTGAGATGAACTGATTATTCCAACTGTACACTGCATTTAGCTCATTGTTCTTCTAGGAAGCCCCTTACAAGCCAATGACTATCTGTGGGGAGAGATGAGCCCCTGAACTCTGGGAAATTCGAAATAAATGTTTCACAGATTCTAGTCAAGGTCATAAAAGCAGCCCCCATCTCTATGTGTACAGGCCCAATAAATCTTCAAAGTCAGCCATGGGATAAGTCAGACTCTCTTCCTGTTTTGTTTTCTCCTTCCACTCCCTTAACCAATTACAGTGTTCAAAAATCCCAGAGTGCTTATCTGGGACTAGATGTACCTTTCCTGGTAACAGAAATAAGAACCAAAGATCGTCACGGGGTCAGGGATGTAGAGTTGGAAGAGATGTCAATGGTCATCTTATCTAAACCCCTCATCTTGGATGTTGTGGGGATAGTATGAGTTAATATTCCAACCCCTTCATTTAGTGTTGGTCCTGTAGTCCTTAGTGCCTGACAAAAGAAAGCACATGAGGTAACCTGCACAGAGGTTTCTTTTGACGTTGGCTTCAAAATGGAATTTATCACATGGCTGTTTAGATAAGAGGCATTGTATGTTGAAAGGAGCAGTGCCTTAACCTTGATTTTACAGACTGGATCATTCTAAAGGGAAGAAGAAGGAAGATTTACTATGTTAAATTTTGATCTGAATAAAAGAAAAAGAACAAGGTCCTAGAAGTATTATAATAACAAAATACCACTAGTTGTGAGGCATCATGAGAGAGGACTGTCAGACGTTAAAGTGATACAATTACCTTTGGATTATACCTTTGTGTTATTGTTGTTGTTGCTTTTTTTTTTTGTAACATTCCTAGTTAGTGCTATAGACACCTAAGAATCAACTGTATTCTTCTGTATTAATAATAATGGATACATTCTCATTCTTAATCTGACATGGCAGAAGATATTTTAGTTTGCAGAGGTGAGGTCAGGAGATAAATCTCATTCATTTTCTTTTGCCATATAAAAACTCTCAAACAAGCTTAATTTTCTTCAGTAAACACTGCAGCAACTGATGCCATTATCTGGCATCAGCCTTCCAGTAACAAGTGAAATAAGGTCGAATAAGACAATAGAAACAGAAATTATTAACTCTGGAAATCATGACAGATGAATGTTTTATACTTTAAACTGGGTTTATTTTTAATGTCTAACACTGGTTAGAATCAACTATCTCTCCATTTCCATTTTTTTCTAGGGTTCAGATAATGGCTAATGACAAACCCTGAAGAATATTATTAGCCATTATGATGGTGAGACATTAAGGAAAAGTACAGATGATGAATCCAACTGTGACTGCATGGTTGTCTTGAGCCTATTTGATATTTTTGTAATGAAACCAAAGCATGTTATGTGGGGAAGTTGATGAAATTCAGAAGCTTTGCAAATGTCTTATTTTTATTTTTATCTATCCAAACCTTGTAAGGCTCTCTCTGTAGGACTGTGTGGTATAATCAATTTAAAATAAAAATTTTAAATTGACTTTAGAATGACAGTCAAATCAGCAGTGCCAGATAATCAATGGATAATAATTTCTGGTCTCCTTGCACCTTGGCCCATCTTTTCTGGCTCACTTGAACACTCTGCCAAGCTTACTTTCCCTTTCTGACACTTTCATCACATTGACTGATATTTGCTTAATTGCCTTCTCTCATTTTCTGTTCCTCATAGGTTACTAATAAGGGTACTTCCTGTTTAATATTTTCTCCCCCCAATTCAATAAGCTACTAAAAATTCTGCCTCCATAACCCATGTGTGCTCTTCAAAAATAATACTGCCCCCACTTCAATCCTCTTGTTTAGATACATTTTCTACCAAAGTACATTTTCTTTCTTCCAGTTTTCCCCTTTAAATCACATTCCTTTTCTGAAACCTGCTAATGTCTATCTTCCCTAAAGATAGCTTACATATTATGCAGAACTTAAACTGATATGAACAACTTTGAGCCTTGACCTCAGGAGAAGCAATAAAATTTAATTCAAATGAAAATATTTTCTCCTCTCTCTCTCTCTCTCTCTCTCTCTCTCTCTCTCTCTCTCTCTCTCTCTTTTCTCTCTCTCCCTCTCTCTCTCTCTCTCTCCCTTTCTTTTTTTCCTTCTTTTCTGGAAGAAAATTTTTCTAGTGCCTTTCAAGTGGCTTCCTCCAATTATCTGATTCTGCTGGATAAATACTGCATTTGTTTTTGCAAGCCTATACATAGCCAAAATCTTAGCCACACCTGAACATCCAAATATTCATTCTTCACAGGATACCAAAATTTTATTTTTAAAAATGATCCCTTCTTAATTAGGATAGTCAATGGACATTAGCAGAAGCTGAAGATGGGCTTCAAAAAGTGTAACCTTTTAGGAAGATCATTAAGGCAATCCTTAATACAATAATCAAGCACAGTGCCTGACATATGGAGTAGGTACATAGTAAATGCTTGTTGAAATAAATTAAATTCTTCTATTTCAGAAAGGGATCTAAAACCAGCCAGTGAAAGTCTCAGGCCAACAGAAAGCTAAAGATGGGTCACAAAGAATCAATGTGATTAATGAGATACTGAATATGAGAGGTAGAAGGCATCTCAACAGCTATATAATTCAACCCATTTTTGAAAGGAATCTCTGATATAATAAACCCAAGTGATTGAATAGCCTCAGCTTTAATCTCTCCAGGTAGGAGCCGTTCCAGGAAAGGCCGCAGTTGCTCTCAAGGATCCTGAGGACTGAAGAGCCAACTAAGCAACATGAGATGAGAGGAAATGTGGGTCAGAGGATATAGAATCAGAGGGCTAAGGTCATACTTCATGTATGACCAAGCTTCAACTGCCTCAGCCATCAGATAGGTATAATAATATTGACCCCACCTAACTCAAAAGATCATTGTAATGAAAATGATTTTCTAACCCTTAAAAATGCCATAGAAATAGGAGCAATAATTATTATTCCTGTAAATTCTGTAACCATTGTGTGTGTGTGTGTGTGTGTGTGTGTGTGTGACTGGATCATAGAATCAGCATACTCTAAGGAGAGAAGTCTGTTTTTGTCCAAATCAGTGCAGTTTGCTACTGAACTCTAATTATGAGTAAAATGTGGGGATAAACTACTGACTTTAGGCCTGGGGAAATCTGGGTTCACCTCCCTCTGGCACTTACTATCTGTGTGGCCACGGTTATATTTTTTTAACCTCTTAAAATTTCAGTTTCCTCATTTATAAAATGAGGGATAATGATACATCTGGTTATTATGAAGATCAAATTAGATAATATACAGAAAGGCCAATATAAATGTCAGTTATTATATCATATTTTTAGAGGTACTTAGAAAGGATTGTTGAATTGAATTGATTTTAGAGAAGATATAGGAGAAACTGGGTGGGAGAATCTTCCTTACCAATGAGTATATTTGGCTTTGATGCCAACCCTATTAAAGGCCAGGCCCAGTTCAAGAGCTGAAGGAGTATTAGAAAAGAGACCATTTTGAAAGTACTGAGGAAAAACCACGAGGACACAAACCATGTACTTAATTGCAGAATTTATTGTAGTCCATCAGAGGATTCCAAATCCCTTTTTTTCAATCCACTGGAATACCTTCCCTTCATGGAGTACAAATCAAATGATGGTGAAAGGATAAAAATTAGGTGAGTTGATGACAGGATTAGAATGTTCTAACATGGTTCTTCAAAGAGTGAATAGTATAGATTGTATGGCAGAGCAGATATAGTTTATTTATAACAATGAAGCAATCTAACACAACTTGTATTATTAAGTCATCACATTGTAAAAAAGTAACTAGGACAAATAAGGCATGTTAAAGTCTTCATCACTGAGGTGTCAAGTCTCTACATACAGTACTGAATAGTGTAGCAATAGTGTCAAGGAATGCCCCTTACTCCAGTCAAATTCACGGTTTATTGGCTGAACAACTACTGTCTGTGGGGTGGGGAAAGTAGGGCTGGAATATCACTTGTAGTAACATGTGATTTGTAAGGTTTTTAAGAGAAGTATATTAATTTTTTAATAGCCAGAATAGGTTGCCCAGACCACCATTAGAAAGTGGATTTCAGGATTAAATGTTATTCATCCTGTTAACCACAGTAGGTAAGGATGCTCTTGGGGGTTACACAGACTTTTGTCTTTTCACTGGCACACCAGTCAAAACAAAAAATGTGGCATAAGCTGACCACTTCCCTCTCACTATCCCCAGATGATGATGGGGTATGGGAAGAGGGAAAATTATAGATTTTGCCACATTAGTTTCCAGACCAAGACATCCCTTCCAACTGGGCCTTTGCCTATTTGGAATGTCCTACTTAGAAATATGAAAAGACTTTTTATAACAGCAATAAGGCACGTTTGGCGGAGAATCAGATACCTAAGGATTTAGAGGTACTTAAATGTGTATTCAGCTTTTTAATGCCTTAGATGTATGATATCTCAGCATTACACCCCCTTCCGCCATATCTTATTGCTTAATTAAGAAAAGTCCTAGGATTTCTCCTTACCACTTTCAGGCATGTTGGGGGAAAAATATTTCAACAGATGCCAAAGAGGTTTTTCAAAGATTTGTTGATAGGAGAATTTTTTTTTTCTTATAGAGTCCCCAAAGTGTTTTGGGCTTCTTTTGCCAGAGTTGAGAATAATTTAGTGACATGTTTATTTTTATTTTATTTTTTAAATTTTTTAACAAAACAAAGCACTCTGAAAAAGAATTCTCAGCTAACTACTAATTTGGCTCCAAAGAGTTTCTGCAAATTAAACTTTTTCTTGTTCTTTATGACCCATGTCAGATAAGTCAGTGTAATGTAACTGAAACATTTTTTTTGCATGTCTAAACACTGTTGTTAATGGAAAGCTCATATTCACCAATATATGTATCACACAGCAGGAAGAATAAGAACCAGATATCTGGTAAATTTGGATCAACAACTTTGCTGACAAAAGGCAGGCAGAATAACCACAGTTTGGGTTTGGGGACATATTAATTATTGTTCTCTCCATTTATTTACATTTCCTCAATCTGATTGCAAGTCTCCTGTATGTTTTAAGCACTTATGGGACATCTAGTTAGGCAACCTTGTAAAGTATGACTTTTCAAATTTTACCTCAAAAGTCTTTGAGGGCCTCCTTTGTCTAATAACCCAATATCACATCCGGTCTGATAGCCCCAGCTGTCAAACACAATTCTTTTAATGGCATCTATGCAGTCCTTTTGGAAGATGCAGAATCACCAGTGTGAGTCTGTGTTAGCAGAATGTCATTAGTTTTCTCTGTCTTCAATATTTGTGGAGAAAAGCAGGCTCAGCTAGAAACTCATAATGAATGTAAAGCAAATACAAAACATCCCTGCAGTCAGACTCCATTTCCTGATGGATGGGAGCACAGCCTTTCATGGTCTAGCTGCTTTGTGATTTCTAAACACTGTCTGTAAAGTATTTGGCATGAAATATCATGAGCTAAACAAGTATGAAAAACATAGCAGCAAAAGCAAGTCTTATAGGAACAAATGATATTTACATTAATGATCATGGCTTCTGGAACTACCATATTCCATACTGGGTTAATAATGACTTGGAGATAAATGAAGAGGTAAATGGGCAGCAGGCCCAACTGAGAGCATTTAGGAAATGTCAAGCACCATCTTCCTATTGTCATTGGGAAATCAGAATGCTTCTGTGCGCCCCCTTCCCATCAACTTTGTTCCTGCTCTCCCTCGCCATCCAAACTTTCTAAAGCTGTGCTAGTTAAGAAAGGAATGGATTTATGGTAAAGATCTAGAAAATAGAATTTAGGCTCTTATATACTGCATAATAGATAGGGAGAGTATGATTATAAAGCAGTCAAGGCTTCAGATAATATCATAAATATTCAGAGCAAAGCTCTTATGATTTGTGTTTAGGTATCATCAAGATTTCAAAATTGAACAAGAGTTTTGGTAATCGATATTTTGCCCTGTTTGATTTTTCAGAGCATGTGGAGTTGGGAAAATGGTCTCATTTGATCAACTGTCCTAGCATGAACACAGAAACTATACGTAGATTTGGGAAGCTTTTGAGCATTTTTCCCTCTGGAGTCAGAACAAGCAATATCACTTTTTAAAGTCATGGTGGAGTCAATGCATATACGAAAACAGATGGTCGCTCACTGTTTTAATGTATTTTGTTCACAGTACACCACATATTCTTATTATTTCCAAGAGAAAAAATGGCTTTACCCATCTCTCATTTCATGCTGAAAAACATCTCTGAATATTTTGCCTAGTGTGGAGCATAGTGCTATGGATATAGTTAAGTACCTGATAAATACTTCTTGGGTTGAATTGAATTGATCAGCCTCCAGAATACTGAATGGTTTTCTAACAACATATTCTAGCCCTGTTGATTCAGTCATTTCTAGACTAAAACAACCCCATCCTTTTCCAGGAGGAGAATGTTTCATTTTGGAACAGGCATCATAGAGAATGAAGAGCCTATCAGATCCTCTGATAAACTGAAAGTCTTGGTACTGTGACCCTCATCTCCCCAGTAGCCTGAACATCACTTCCCCCATCCCTCTCCCTACCACCTTGGTTCTTTCATCTGTTGGGAACTAGTAAGAACTACCATTTACCTTAAACTTTGGCATTTCTGGATTAATTGAGTCCAGTTATGCTAGAAAAGGGCCATATAAGATACTCAACACAGTATCAGAACGTTAGAACCACTGGGTTTTCTTATAGAACTGGACTATTTAGCCCCAAAGTCAAAATGCAGACGGTCATAGCTATTAAAGGACACTGGAACTGGCAAGGTGAAGACATAATCAAATGAATCTAAAGCACATCTATTCAGTGGCAACAGAAGAAACACATTTAGCAACTAACCGCATAGGATATGGTAGTTCTCATGTATGCTCCTGTCCACTGGGAGAGCCTAGCAAAATTACAAAAAGAGGAGACTGGCATAAAACTGAGTAGTATAAACTACAGAGCTACAGAGTACTGTAGAGCAAGAAATGTGTGGGTTAGGATTATGTACTTGACAAGGTCAAAGCTGGCTCTCAAATTTTTGATGCTATCTCTGTTCCTTGAATTATAGCAGGTAGGTTGAGGAGAGTTAAACAGGAAGGCTAGTTACAGAATGTATGGTACAGGGCTGGTTATTTTTCATAGGTGGGCACACAGAATAATTATAGCTGGGGTGGAACTCTTCCGTCCCCTTACATAAGGTAGCAAATACATTTATTTGGGTGTAAACTGACTGTGAAAACAGCTGGGGTTTACTCTTGATGAATGAAGAGGTTTGCTAATTTAGCCATTTTATTACCAAAATTACCAATTACTACATCTGGAGAAGGATGGCAGAACAATAACTCTGTGTGAGATAATAGTCCAAAAATTGTGTCATTTCCTACAAAGTTGGTAGTGATGGTTGATGGAGTGTGTGGCTTCTGGAATTTCACCAATGTTTTATTGAACAAATGCTCAAGGGCTTTCATTGTGTAGGGATTTTTTAAAACCTGGCTCTTTGTTTTAGAGGTCAGAGAGAAAGAAGGCTAGGAAATACATCTTTTGCTGGCATAGGAGTAGGAGGTGTTATCTGTTTTTAATAACTTAAGTCCTAGTATAATCAAAGAACTTCAAAACTGTGTCTACACAGCGTAAGGTAAAATGCAAAAAAGTAGGTCAAACAATGGCTATTTCAATGGCAGAATTCTTCCACTGACTGATATGTCCACATAGATCATTGAACAAAATAACTTGCCAGTCTCAAAAATGGACTCTGTAGACATAGACATAATGACTAATTGCCGTTGCATTCTTCCAGTTTACCAAACTCATATGTTTTTCACAACATTTGAGAACCTTCATCCAATTCAGAAATATATTAAAGTGTGAGTGATAAATGTTGTATAGTGGAAGAATGTGGAGTCACGAGACCCGGGTTCTAATGCTAGTTCTGCTAGTAACTAGCTATGTCATCTTAAACAAGTCACCTAATCTCTTTGGACCTCAGTTTCTTCATCTGTAAAATGAGATGTGAGAATTTTATTCTATTTCTTTCTAAGTTTTCATTGGTTGCCATCGCACTATGCTAAATATAAATAGGACTTTTTTTTTGCCTATGAGTTTGCCAATTTGAGAATGCAATGCAGAAAAACAAATATGAATCTTATAATAATGCTTAACTTAACCTTATTCTCAGTGAAACTCCTTGTGACATGAAAGAAGAACAGGATGGAAGAATGCCCCAGAGAAAGGTATGGAGAATCTGAAAGGGGTATGTGAGAGTATATGTGTATGCATGTGTATTTGGGGTGTGTGGAGAGGTCATCTTAATTCCTTTTTATTTGGATTGAATATTAAAGGTTTAGGATGATTTATAATTAACATCAGCTACTTATTATGAAGCTTCATTTTCTACTTTTTCAAAGAAAAAAATATGCTTTTTAGAGGTTAATGTGTCATCATCCATACATTTTGACATACTAACTAGAGCAAATAAATCATGTAGCCAGATGAGAATGTTGGCTAATAGCCAGTGGCTAGATTTTTTTTTTTGCATCAGCAGGAACAGCCTTAAGTTGCTAATTGATATGAAACAGCTCATACAAATAAAGATAATCACTTCCGTGTTATTAAAACAAAGCTGTTTAGATGTAACTTCTTTGGCTTAATATAATTTGGGCACTTCTAATTTTTCACACTTGTGAAAAAAAATTTCCCCTCAGTGTGTGTAATTAAGTCAGGGAGATCTGTGTTCCAGTTCAGTTTCTGACGAATACTGTCTGCACAACCCTGGGCAAACCACACAATTAACTTCTCAGTGCCTCAGGCAACTCTTTAAGATTGCAAATTGCTGAACAGTTGTCAGATTACATTAGGAGAGGGAATTTCTTCATCTAGAGTTAAAAGGCATCCCAGTAAAATTGCAAGACCAGACCAAAAAAAAAAAATCAGACCAGAAGGTGAATCATATGATTTTCAGATTATCAACCTACGATCAGAGACATAAAGGAATTCATTCCTACAAGATTCTTTTAGCTGTAGCTGTTAGTTTGATGTTTTTATAGCTCAGAATTAGGATGTTGAGAGATTGGTTTATGCTAAAGTCTTTATGGCTTTGGGGGCCACTTTAAAGAGATGAGAGGTTTAAACGGCACTTGCAGTTTCTTCTGTAGCAAAGAAAAGTGAATAGAAATTTTGCTTGTATCCATTTTTGTGAATTTGCTGAAGACAATTTTTTTTTTGCAACCAAGTATTTTGATTCCTTGGTTGCTTTAAGCAATTTGTGTATGCGCCTGTGTGTGGTGGAATTCAACAATACATATGGTGAGCTTTAAATCAATCAACAAGCATTTATTAAGTGCTTACTTTGTGCCAAGGTCTGTGCAATACAAAGACATCTTTGGAGGAGGTGAGCCTCGTTATGCTAAGAAAGCTGCCTCAGGGCCGTATATTTAGCACCATAACAGGAAATAGGAAACATGGGTTTTTTTATGGGACTGGACCACTTAGCCTCAAAGTTAAAATGGAGAAGGTCACATAACTGTTAGAGGACACTGAAACTGGCCAGTGAAGAAGACATACTCAAAACTCAGTGGCAGCAGAAGAAACAGATTCAGCCACTAATCTGAAATGGTGCCTGCTCTCCAAGAATTTACAGTCTAGAGGAAAAGTCCATGTACTTATGTGACCTTAGGCAAGTCAATTAATTTCTCTGGGCCTTAGTTTCATCATCTGTAAAAAGAAGGAATTGGACCAGATAGTCTCCAAGTGCCTCTCCATCTGTAAGTTTATGAACTAGGAACTAACTATCCATGCCCTGATCTTCATTTTAACTTGGAAAAAAATGTCATTAGGACTGTGATTGAGCAAATCATAAAAGACTCTTGAAGCTATTTCTTTATGTGACTAGATCCATTTCTTGTTGGTCATGGCAGTAAGAAAAATGATAGCTGGTTGTTGAACGGGTTTATCTAACATTTTTGCCTTTTAAATGAGTTGCAGACATAACCTATGGAAGAGAATGTTGTCAGGAAGAGTTGAGTGAAAAGGGAGTGATCTTTCCTGCATTTAATTTGAAAACAACAAACTCCATGAAATTATAGAAAACAGTAATTTTCTTTTCAAATGAGAAGACAAATCTATCATGTTCCAGGATAGTTTAGCAGAAACAGCAACGGAGAATATTGGATTTGGAATCAGAGAAACTGGGTTCAAATCCCAGGTTCTTGGGCAATAATTCACTCCTTTAGATCTTAATTTCCTTATCTACAAAACTGATCGGAGAAAGATCGGACCAGATGATCTCTAAAGTCCTCTATACTTCCAAATTTTAAGACCTATAAATGCAATTTGAGATTTTTTTTCAGCACTCCCATATGAATACCCCATTAGTAACATTTCATATCTATGATTCAGATTTCCAAATGCCTCCTCATAAAGATTACATAAAATTGCCTGCCTCAGTGACCTAACTTCCTGTTCTTGGTTCCTATCTGCTGTAAAATCAAAGCAGGGCACTCCACTGACTCAGAGGTTACATAGATTCGGATGTTCATGGCTACCAGAACATTATATCCAATTACATAAGCCTTTCATGTTCAAGTCCTTTACAAACACCAACCAATTAAGTGGCGTTTCAAGCTCTAGGTGCAATTTCCCTGGGCCTCCTTGTTATAAGCAATATGGGCAAACTGCTGGTTTCTGTTCCTTCATTAATCACTGATTTCCTTCACAACCTCAGATAACTTCCCTAATATAACCCAGCCTTCAAGGAAAATGAAAATCTTACTCTTTAGTACTTCAGCTGCTTCCTCGCCTTATTCTATTTCTTCCAAAAGGTAACTGGAATTCAAAGGTGTTGGCTTCTCTGAATGTTAAAGGAGCGAGAGGAGATATGCAAAAGTCTGGATTTTTTTGCTAGGTTCTGGCTTAACTCATCTTCCAAAATGTGGAGTGAGTTGTTATAAATGGATAGGGTAGCAGAACCATGTGACTGAATATATGTTTCCTTACCCCTAACCTGTGACTTTTATCTAGAGATCTTGATACTCACTGTGATGTTTATACTCACTAAGAAGATACTTACTCTTAAGCCATAGGAAAGATGGTTCAAGAGAAATGTTTCCCTTATGATTTGTTTTTCTATATGTGACATGTGACATCCTCCTCAGAACAACATAATCCCCTTGCTTTTTGCTTTTTTCCTCATTTGCCTCAGCTCCTTGTATAGTACCCTTCATAGAGCAGAATCTACTCAGTAGATCCTCAATAAATGCTTGTTGGATTGGGCTAGATTTCCAAAAAGTTGAATTTGAATCTCATTTCTACTTCACCTTACTCTGGGACAGTCGTGGGCACCGTCTTGCTCTGCCACATGTTTCAAGATGGGTCAAAGAAGGTAAGGAGAGCAAGAACACTTGAAATGTAAAGGCAGGGCCTTTATAGCTTTCTGTGGTGTCTGCCAATTGCCCATTGCCCATGTGATGAGAGCTCTTAAATACAAGTGACTATTGAATAGAAATTTGTTTTCCTTTAGTAAATAGTTGCATTGGAGTGGAATGCTCAATACTCTGTTTTCATGCCTCTTTCCCTTCTTCGCATTTATCACTCATTGTCTGATCAGCACCAATCTGGAAGCAGTGTTAAAGCAGAGGCTTTCCACTGTGTGAGTGTGTGCTATGTTGTGTTAATTCCTCAGAAAAATCAAAGTGCTTATTTAGCTTCATGGTTTTTAAAATTGGGAATTACTGTGAATAACCACCACATGGATCCTTTTTCCTTCCTGGGCAATTAGCTTCCCTTCCCTGAAAGAAATTTGTATCCTGATTTCTCAGTTGGAGTCATTTTAAAGTTGCCTTAATTTGCTTTTCAATGATTATCTTTCTGGATAAACCAAAGAGATTAATGTTGTGAGTTTAAATTATAGTGTTGCTTACAGGTAAATGCTATGCTTTGGGGGGCTTTTATAATTTTCTACTAAAACATTTTTGAAATGGTACTATATTTTCAGTAAAGAAATCATTGTTAACTGTGTTAAAGAGTGAGTTATTTGAAATTGATTACTTGTGATCTGTTCAACAGGTCATTTAAACCTGCCTATGAGCATGGTCATATCATTTTAGAGATCACTATCAATGCTATTTTCTTATTTTGAAAAATTTTTGCCCATCACTCCCTGCTCCTTCCACTTGCATATTATTTTTCCATTTCTGACCTCACTTAAATAATATTGACATTCTTTCTCAGAGCTCTACATTTTATCTGGAAGGAGAAAAGAATTAATAAATGAGAGGGACAGGATTTTCCACTTCATTGTTTAAACTACACACATTTGGAGAGGCATAAGGATTCTAGATGTAAAGATGAAAGTCAATGGTTTCCAAAACTAAATGCATTCAAATTGTCATACTGGTGGGATAAACAATTGCCCAATTTGTTTATACTATAGCTTCTAAAGGCCCTCAACCTTAAATCATAAAGGTAATTGAGGAAAATACATAAAGGGTACTGGAGACGACTATTAGATGATTTTTTTTTTTTACTATTTTCATACAAGCTTAATGGCAACTTTCTATCCAAAGTAGAAACGCAAAATCTTAACCCGCATAGTAATTGACAGCCACACAAAAAGTTAGGAGAGGACCTGTGTACACATACATAATGCATATATTTTATGTATACACACAATGAAGCCTCACTATAATGCCATTTGTGAGGACAATGCCATTAAAATGTGTTGTTATAAGGTCCTTTCAGTACTTTTAGTAAGAAACAGCCCCTCTTCTTCCCATCTTGGACAAGGCCAAAGATCTCACTGTTAGACTGAGTTTTGTGCTACAGCATGCCATATTATAGCAAGGCTCCAGTGTACATACAACTTTATATCACATATATATGTCTCAGTCTAAAGCTAAACACTGACTAATATCTATAACAGGGAAGAACAATTAGCAAATCATGTAGCATTAGTTATGCTTTTCTTGCCAAAAGAAAAAGCATTTGTTTAAGTAAGAGGAAAACTTGGATGAATTGTTACTAATTTTCTATTTTACAAGGAATCAAGCTAAGCTACTCTCTTATTTTTTTTTTTAAAAAAGCAATAAATGATTAACTTTGCAAATATAAATGTAAACAGAATTACAATTCAAAAATTGGCTAATTGTTCTTCCTCATCATGGACCTTAGCTAATGTTTAGTCTGTAGCCATGATATAGCTACTTGTAACAGGTAAAGATCAAATGTGGGCCAATGTTCACAATAGGAAATGTCAATTAAAAATCATTAATTAAGGCTATTTTAACATTGACATCATCAAAACAAATAACATTTTTGTTCAGATGAGAGGACTTTTGTCTTCATTACAATTGTTAGTTTGTCAGTGAATGACAGATAATGTGTTTGAATGTTCACAAATACATTAGAATTTCACATCCCTTATATTTCAAAGCAGTTTTTACTGATCCCTGTATTCAAAGTATAGAATATTAAGTAAAAGAGCAAATCATTACCCTTCAAAACAGAATCATAAACAGAACTCTAATTTATGAATTTGCTAACCGTTCTTCTCTGCTAAAGACAAAACTCTGTTTAGTCTTTAGCTATAACATATACATAGTTTAATATACACCTATTATATATGTGTATTACTGTTAGAAAAATACATATTATAACGAAAGAACATGTAAAATAGAGGCACTTTAAATAATCTAAATGTTTGCATTTATGAGCACCACTCATTATTTCCTAGTTCCAGATTTCAATGAGCCCAGTGGAACTGATTCTTCCCTATTTAGAACAGAGGTTATGAAGTGAAGACAAATGGACAACATTTGGGGACATCAGGTTGACAAATTATGGAAAACCATGGAGTTTTTTCCTATATTCCACTATAGTATACTACTTTCTGAAACTAGAGAACTCAAGTTATAGACTTTCCAAAGATTTCCTAAAAAAGGGGTAATAATCTAGATTAAGCTGATGTCATACCAACAGTGGAATAAATGCCTCACTGCTCAAATGAACATGAAAAATCATATGACATAAAAGGATGGCAGGGGAAGAGTCAAGAAGTACAACTTGACTGATGTTGTGACCATGTCTACCCAAGGTGATTTGTATTATGGTATGGTGACCTGATCATTTCAACTCTTTTCACAGTTGATTTGCTGTAGCTAATCAATGTCATTACCAGATGTGAATGGATCAGGTTTTAAAAAATATATATATACATGTATGTGTGTGTGTATATATATATAATACATATATTATATATATATACACACACACACACACACATACATATAAATATATAACCTGTGTACTGGGAAAAAATGAGGAAAAAGGCATCTCCTTAATACACTTCATAGAAGGAAAAGGAGGAAATACTGTAAAAGAAAAGAATTTGAGTTCAGAGCTGCCTAAACCAGCTTTTACTCAAATTTTCTGATAAATAAGGTTGATGTCATTTTCTTTATACCTTCATTATTGGAGAAACAAAATACTGATTCTTAAACACAAAATGGAGTCAGTAATTTAAGGTATTGGTCACTGCGGAGAGCTCTCTGTATGCATAATTGGTGATATGAAGCCAAAGTCGGGCAGTCAGATTGATGATTTTTCCAAAAGTATGCAACAGGAAATTTGTGTTGGAGTTTTAGAAAAATTTCAATTAGGAGGGTGGTAGACAGTTTTTTATAAACCTATATTTCCTATTTCATTAGGCATAATATATCAATAGTAGCTTGTAAATACCTTATTTTGTTTTTGTAAAAGTGCTTAAGTGTACATAATACTATTGTGCTGTGTGTACTCTACTTAAATGCAGTGACTAAATCAATAACTAATTGTAATTTTGATGAGAAAATGAGATTGAAAATACCATTTACATGTCATTATTGTAAATTTTAATATGACTGAAATACTTTATACTATCTGAAACTAACTTTACCAGCTTCAGATTCATCATATAAACCAAGAAACACTTGGAAAACCAATTAATTTTATGGAACTCCCCCCACCTCCAACTGTCCCCCGGGTGTTTTTGTTTATTTGTGCGTGTGTGTGTGTGTGTGTGTGTGTGTGGTGTGTGTGTGTGTGTGAGTTTTGTCATGTTTTCCTTTGAGGGGTTGGTAGCATCTGATTTTGGCCTTCATGATGCAGCTGGTTAGGCCAGGGCTTTGGACTCCTTTCCCTCATCCCCAGTTAAGGTAATGCGTCCAAACCACACCAGGAGTTTTAGACCAAAGACCTTGTCCTAAAAGCAATAATTTTCAATGAATGACATTCTCTATGCACACATTTGCCATCACCAGTCAAGTCTTGCAGTGCCCTGGATCTCCCCATATGCCCTATCTGATCTGGAGCACCCCCAAGCCAAATCACATTCATGCGAAAGAGGGTGTCCTCTGGTGAACTTTTAATAAAATGACAGTTAGATACATAAAAAGTTCTCTTTCTTGATTCTCAGTGCTCATAGGTCATTTTAAAAAATCACTTCTCTGAGCAGCACAAGACAAGAAGAGCTGGTTGACAAAACATTTTTGTTACAAAGGTGTGTCAACCCTGAGCTTGTAGTTAAGAAGTTAAAATCTGTGATTTATATATATAATATATATAAAAATAGATGATCATACTAAGACTAAAAAAGTGAAAGAAATCTCCATGTCAATACTATTACTGTTTTTTTTTATCTTATCTGTTTGTTTTGTAATCGAATGCCCTTGTGATACAGAAACCAACCTACACAAAGGAAGTCTTTACATATGAAAGCTTGCATATGGATCCAATTGCTTATCAGTCCATTGAAAGAACTGTCACTTTGGGAGGGTAGTAAGCACAGGAGCAGAAAAACTGAACAAATATTGGATTGGTGGCAAGAGCAAAGATATTCTATAACTGGAGATTATTTTTCAGTCCAAATCTTAGAGGGACACTTTGTCAAGGGTGGTGCAAAGGAGAGGGAACTCCTGTGCCAAGTGGATAACAAAGAGAAAGACTAAAAAGCTTAGGAAAAATGGTGCCACTATTGAAATGTATACTGGGCAGGTTGATGTGAATCCTAAATGGCAAGTAATAGGAAATACTGAACTCTTTGTGGTGTTGGTATACTACTAAAGATTATTTTCTAATTGTCAGTTTCGATGCCTTCCAACCAATTAGATAGTGTTGGTGGCCAAGAGTGTAAGACATTCACCACTGAGACATACTGTATTTTCACTACTTTTTTTCTTAGAAAAAATTCCAAACTTTCTTCCAATGACCATTTAATTGCCATAAAGAAGCCCATGTTAGAGGGCTGGCTGTCAATAAAGAAATGATATCATTTAGGATCTTTTTTTTTTTTCTATCTTCCTTTGCCTGTTTGTTAAAAATGCAGCCGCCTTGGGGTTTTGCCTGATTTTTGAAGAAAAACTATTTTCTTTCTATCTTTCCCCTACCACTCCCTCCCTGCCCCCCCTTTTTGAAAGGAAATAAAAACCCCACAATGTGAGATCCCTTTACTTCTGCAGCATAGAAGCAAATGAAGGTAAGAAAGTCCCTTGGTAAGAAAGATTTGAGTAAGAATTCACTCAAGAATAGACATGGTCTCCACAGATAGCTGAAGGAAATAGGAAGCGGTTCAGTCTGGCACCCGGTACTCTTTGGGAAAACAAAAAGGGAAGCAGATTTGCAGTACTGCTCTCTTCTCATAGAAAACTGTAAGTATTGTGTCATGGTCCATTGTCCAATTGTGTAAGAAAAAGAAGTTGGTTGTTCATATAGCTAAAACTCAGTTTATCTGACCAAAATCCAGGATTATCTCCACTGTCTCTGCAGTGAGAGGATAATGAAGAGGATAGACCACGTGAGGAGTGAGTAGCTGAGCTTGTCGGCAGAAGAGTTCACTTCTCTCCTGTCTGAATCGACAGGGGGTGCTTCAGTGGTGACGAAATCGAACTCAGTTGGGCAGATGTCATCCATACAGCCACTGCCACTGCCCGAGCCACTGGTTTCATCACCTATTGCAAAGAGAAGGAGAAAATGTCACGCCGCAAAAATGGAGGACGAAACAAAACAGAACATGAAAAAACCAAAACAAAACCAAAATGAATTCTTTGAGGCCTTTCCTCAAGTTTGTGCGCTATTGACAAATGTTTTACTCGGCTTGACTATTTGTGCATTTGGAGACTGATGAGATGTAGTATTAACTTCTATCCCAGGTTCTATCCCATGGGTGGTGAGTGTCATAATACACATAATGGCTTACTGTGTGTGAATGTGAGTGTGTGTGTGTGTGTGTGTGTGTGTGTGTGTGTGTGTGGTGTTTCTACTTCAAACCCCACAAACTCATTTCTATTTAAGTGTTGACTATGAAGCAGCTAGGTGGCATGAGCGCTAGGCCTGGCCTGGAGTCAAGAAGACCTGAGTTCAAATGTGGCCTTAGATACTTCCTAGCAGCGTGATCCTGGACAAGTTGCTTAATCTGTTTGTCTCAGCTTCCTCACCTGTAAAATAGGGATGATACTAGCACCAACCTCGCAGGGTATTGTGAGGACCAAAGGATATATATAATAACTGTAAAATGCTTAGCACAGTGCCTCACATAGGGTTATAAATGTGAGCTATTATTAATATTATTATTATGTGTATTATTATGTGTAAGGTACAATGCTCAGTTATGAGATAAAAAAATGAAACAATATTTTTCTTCTTCTTTTTTCCTATTTCTTCCCTGTTCTCTTTCCACTCTCTTTTTTTTCTTTCCCCTTTGCCCTTTTCCCTGGCATATATTTACTTTTTGGCACAAAGCCCTTGATATTGAAAAGGTTGCTGACCTCTGTTCAAATCTCTGTCCCTGAATCATAGACTTTGGGTAACCTACCAAATTGGCATTGACCTTTTTTTTCAAGGTCACCTAATGCTGAATGGTTAGGAAGTGATTAGCATTGTCCAGAAGTCTAGGTAGGAAAGCACCCTTTCTCTAGAAGACAGTGGCAATGGTGAGCATCTCTTCCCATTCTTTTAGCCTATGGCACCAAGCTGAAGACCACTCTTTGCTCCCCTAGCCTGTCCTGGCATGCGCTAGACCTTTGTACAGACAGAGGAGGTGACACACGAGGAGATGTGGACCACTGGAAAAGAAAGAAGCTTAAATTATCTGAATTGTGGTCATCAGAACATGTTACCTTGATCAATAAGAGAAAAGATGCATTGCAGCACCTGTGTGAGTTTTGAGTAAATGACTTATAACTCCGACTTTTGTCCTGGGTAGTAGTGGGAATCTTTCTTTGTTTCTTTCATTCTTTCTCTCTTTGTCTTTGTCTCTGTCTCTGCCTTCCTTCCTTCCTTTCACAAATTAATTTTCTACAGTCTTTCTCTTAGAGCTCAGGAGACTGAAGAGATTTTTTTTTAAAGGACTACAAATAGAGCTCGGAGTTTGCTTTGGGAGTGGGAGCTGGTAAATGTCTGGAATGACATTTTTTAAATTTTATGATACAATCAGCTTCTTGATTTTACTATCCTTTTACTAATTTAATTTAGTTTTTTTTTTAAACTATGACCTTAAATTTTGAGTGCTGGAAAGAATTGGTAGGATTTTGAAGGCACAAGAATTGTTAGTGGGTGGAAGTTGAGCAAATGAGTGACAAGTTATGATTGACAGTTACAATTAGATAAAAGGCTAGGAATACAGCTGTTAGGGACAAAGTGCTGGTGATTGACAGTCATCTGTTCCAAGTCCTGTTATAGGCAGGGGTAAAGCTGGTCCCTGTAGAATGACTGTATAGCATACCTGTTACATTAACACATACACAAAACACACACACACACACACACACACACACACACACTCACATACCCCTCTTCCTTTTGAAAAGGTCATTGCTAGCATTCTTAACAGACATCATGTCACAAAGGAATGGTGTGAGAAGGTATTTAAAGGAAACATAGGAAGGAAAAACAGACATTATACAAAAAAAAATCTTTGGTCCAAAAGAAACAACTGGGTGAAGAAGCAAATGCTTCCTGGACTGGGGAATAACTTTTCCTTTAATGAACAAAATTGTTTAGTAAGCCCCATCTGTTTCTATCTTTGGAGAACTAGCTTCATCCTTGTTTTTCATAATCTACCCTTTTCAATTCCATACCTTCAGTGAGCAACTCCTTCACCCAATATCTCTACTTCCTCAGTTCTACATATAACCTTCTTTACATGTAGCATCCAGTTTCTCATTTTCCACTTATCTGATAGACCCTGCCTTCTCTTTTTGATTGCATGCCCAATGGACAGAATGAACTGCTATCCTCTGCCTGATCTGATGAGGTTAACTCTCTGAGCTGTTTCTGAGGTAATGTCACAATCTCTTTAGCTGGCAGCTGCTAACAGCTACACTCAAGTATGGAATATTGGTTAGGATCATAGGGTCATAATTTTTGGGCCTCCCAGGTAATCTACTTCAACCCCTTCACTTTATAGCTGAGGAAATTGAACTTTCCTTTCCTGCCCCTAATATGTTTCAAATAGTCTATTGGGAGAGAATCACGTTTCTTTGAATTGAATGTTTAAATATTAGATCAGATCATTTGAAAATGCTGTCCTGTGTCCTTAACATTTATCATTACTGATCCATGTGAGGGTTAAAAGAGCACATTAATTAAATTTAGAGATGCTAAATTGATAGGGGAATTGTTTTGAAGACTAGTATGGGCATGAAGTATTATAACCTTTACACAGCTATTATTAAAAGAGATTCAGAATATTAAAAAAATTTAGCAGCAAATAATGAAAGGAGATTCCAGTTGGAAAAAAAAATAATAGCCACATCTCTTTGAGAAAACTAATCATAGATACAGGTATTCAAGGGGGCAAGAATAAGTGATAAAGCAGAAATGTCAAAAGCAACAAGGGTTATAATAGCTATAAAACGTGATAATGGTTTTGAGCTTGAGATAGAAGCCAAAACAGGCAATGCTATTTAGAGCTGTGCATCTAAGTGCATCAGGTCATATCCTTTTTGCAAACAGGTCTCAAGAGATAAAACCAAGAACATGGCAATCTTGTCTCAGCTCATAAATACTGGAAAGAAATAGCAAGCACACTTGCAATGAGTTGAGATAAAAGTCATATATAGGCAGCAGTCCTTAAGTTACTGATGTTCAGTGAAAGCTCTCATCTAGAACTTTGTCCATTGGGAGGAGGAAAGCCCAAGATCTAGAAACCAGAATTTCTGACATGTCTTTACAAATCTCCCAACTAGCACCTTGCACTCTATAGGAGCTAAACTAGATTAATAGGGTAGAATTTTCTTGAGACCTGTTATTTACTATTCCTATTTGGTGGTGGTCAGGGAAGACAGGGTTACAGCTCTGCCTTTTAAGATTTTACCAAAGTGGCAATTTATAGGTATAAATCGCTACCCCTTGATCTGTGGGAGAATAAGGGAAAGATTAGAGGTATAGCCCATAACGTGAACGAAATTTTAGTTAACTGGAATTTTTATATGACATTTCCCATTTCCTTGACATGCCAGACGATGTAACTTTAGTGTTCAGATCGTGACTCTGCTAATTACTATTGTGGGGAAGTCAGTCACTTGTGGGACTACATTTGGGAAGCCATTTAGCCTTTCTCAGCCTCAATTTCTTTATTGTTGTTTAACTCAGCTATATAATTAATCAAAACTTCATTGTTCAGATGTAGAGACAGAGAGTATTTGTGATCAATTAATTTCACTTTTAATACCTTAAGTTAGCCATGAATGCTAGTGCTTTTGCTGTGAAATTAACTACAGTTCACCATGTGCCTTTATTGTATATATGTAATTGTTTGCATGTTGTTTCTCCTACTAAAAAATTAGTTCCTTGAAGGCAGAGATTGTTTTTGCCTTTCTTGGTATCCCTGGCACTCAATACAGTGCCTGGCACATAGTCAGACCTTAAAGATTTTTTTTTCTAGAAGTAGTAGGATGATCTTGAGAAGAGTGAAATTTAGGTTTATTACAGCAGAACCCCCTTCCTCCCCCATCATAGTTATAAATTCTGTCAATGGCAAAATATCCTGCCCATAGAAATGTAGTTGTTGGAGTTATTTAAAATTATATTGAATAAAGCACTAAATATATATTGCAATGGAAATGTTTCACATAATTGTACATGAACAACCTATATCTTATTGCTTATTGTTTCAGGGAGGGGAGAAAGGAGGGAGGGATAGACTTTGGAACTCAAAACTTTAAATAAAAATGTTAAAAATTGGAAAAAAATGTATTGCAGGGGACAACTCTGTAGGATAATAACTCAGAGGGATACAACTTAATAACTTCCATCTGTAATTTGTTTCTTTCCATCTCATTAATTCACACATGCAAGTACAATCTTTTGCTTCGGTGACCAAATTACAGTCACTGCTAACAAGAGTACATCTAATGTTCAAGAGATAGTTATATGATTACTTGCTCTTTTTAGCCCAACCTTTCCAAAAGATATTTTCTCTGTACATCTGATGACATCTTGAAACCACCTGATTTCTCTTATGGAAGTGAATGTTGAAAACTAAAAAATAAATACATTAACTAATTTAAAAAAGTGGAAACAAAAAGAAACCACCTGGTTTCAGTCTGAAGGTGTTTTCTAGCAAGTATATGTCCAAACATTTTGAACATTTCTGATGTAGGGGTAGCTAGATGGCACAGTGGATAGAACACCAGCCCTGAAGTCAAGAGGAACTGAGTTCAAATTTGGTTTCAGATACTTACTAGCTTGTGACCCTGGGTAAATCACTTAACCCCAATTGCCTCCCCAAAACAGCAACCAAAAAACATTTTTTTTTTGCGAAATTTCCAATCTTAAACCACAAAGTTGATATGTGACTCTGTCCAAAGCTACTTCTCAGATCAGAGAAGTGAAATACATAAAGGTACATATTTCATAAATATATAAATGGTACATATTTCTAGTCAAGAAAAATTATGTAGTGATTTTGAAATATGATCTCATTTTAATCATAAGGTGTCCATGAGGGTCACCACATTGGATTTTTAATTAAGTTGATTGCTTACTTGTGTCTTGGAAATTCACATCATTTCCATTGTATGCATTTTTTAGCTTGTTGGTCATTACTCGCAGAGCCATGATCTGTTGCCTTATGAAAGTGTCTGGTCTAGTGATGTCTACATCAACTTCTGGATTATTGATCTGATTGGTCAGCCCATCATTCATGATCTCAGGCAAGTATCTATAAGGTTGAAAGGAGATAAAAATTATTAGAAAAGGTTCACTTCAAAACAGGATTTTTTTCATATATAATAATAACCCAAAACAAAGCAAATTAGCTCATTAGGCACAGGTTCCAGGAAAACCATCCAGCAACAAACACGCTTATTATATTAGGTAAATAAAATTTTTAAAAGAGGAAATTGTGGCTAAAATAATGACTCCATCATACAAGTACTTACACTTCATTGTTGTGTCATTAATATCTATGAATGAAGGATGAAATGGAGAATTATGGAAATTAGATAGCCTGTAAACATCTGACTCATGGATTAGATAGTTTTAGTGAATGGATTTTAGTTGCCTGGATTAATAATCTAGCTTGGATAATAGCTTGAATTCTCCTCATGCTTTTGAATGTGTAGATTGGGCCTGCAAAATAGCAATGGTATAACCTTGAGATCCTCCTTGAATTAGAACCAACCTTAGGAGAGAAAGACTGTTTTAGGAAGTCCTAGAACTGGGTTCTTAACCTTTTTTTGTGTCATAGGTCTCTTTGACAGTCTACTGAAACCTATGAACCCCTTTTCAGAATTATGTTTTTTAAATGCATGAAAGATAAAAATAAAACACAAAGGAAACCAATTATATTGAAATATAGTTATTAAAATAAAAAAAAAACCCAAGAAGTTCACAGATCCCAGGCTAAGAATCCCTGACCCAGAAGGAGTTTTAATCTTTAAAAGACTGAAGTTGATATTACTTAGAGTTTCGACAAAAACTTGAGAAAAAAACTAACACAAGTGAGATCAGTGGGATAAAATTGTATTGCTTTCAGTTCAGTGAAATTCAAAAAGCATTTGTTAAGCAACTACTAAAAGTACTCAGGATACAAAGACAATGAAAAATAGTGCCTGTCTTCTTTTTCTTTCCTTAAGGACAATCTTTGTTACAAGTGATGGCTCTCTGGGAAGGCAAGGGCAAGACTACAGAGAGAAATCTAGGTAATGTAAATACATAAATATGCACATACATACATTAATTAATGATTTTTTATTTTTCTAATTATACATAATCATATCATTCTATACAGGACTAATAATTTTTAGAATTGGTATACATACAACATACGGCATTTCAAAAAGTTCTTCAAAGGAATATTTAGCTAATTAGTTTTAGGAGGTCCAATCAATTTTCAGAGTCTAATCCAATCTCTCTACAAACTCTTCAATGTGCCATTAGTAGATGAAATTTAGTCATTTACCTTTTCAGTTTTTTCTAGGTTGCTTGCATATACCTTCTTGGTCAAAACTAATAATTAATCTATTAAAACATAACTGATTTGTGAAGCTTCTGTTTCCTCTTTTTCTCTCTGATCTCTACTTCCTCTAATTCCATCTTTTAAATGTATCTTTCAAAATAGCTTGTAGAAAAGATTTAATGATAATACAAATTAGCATTTACACAATACTTTAAAGCTTGCAAAGTGCTTTACATACTATCTCATTTGAGCCTCATAACAACCCTGGGAGCTAGGAGCTATTATTATTATCCCCATTTTATAGATGAGAAACCTGAGACTAAGGCAGGTTAAGTGACTTGCCTAGGGTCATATAGCTAAGTAAGTGAGGCAGAATTTGAACTAAAGTCTTCCTGACTTAAAGCCACCTAAGTGGCTTCTTTACATCCCTTTAAGCTAATAACTTTGATTGTCCCAGGTCTTCTCATTTTAAGATCCCTCCAATCCTCTGGTCTTTTTGTTTCTCATATCTTTCTATTTCAGGGTACTCCTTTTGTGGTCCTTCTTGCCACCTTGTTACCTTGTTCTCTGACAATGATGCTAGTTCTCTCCTCTTTAGGTATCATCTTCAGGCCCTCAAGTCTTACATATATTTTTGGAGTTATTTTCATCATGGGTTTTTTATACCTTTCCCCCTTATTTCTCACTCTGATCCATAAGATTTTTCGTACAGTATAATTATGTTGGAAATTATTCTTAGTATAGGCTACTCATTGTCATCTTCCTGATTCCTCCAGGAAACCTCCTTTTTTCAAGTCTTTCAGTGATGCTAATAGATCCTATGTATCGACTTCCAAACTAGGAGATGGAAAAAAACACACACAAGGAATCTTGCAGTTTATTTTTAAGTCAGGGTGTTGGATTATGTGAATGAAATGTTTGTGTCTGAATTGTTTCATCTGACTTAAATCAAAGGTCCTCTGAGCAGGCCCATGTATCCATTTATGTCCTGAAAAGTCCCAACTACAGTTGGCATTCACCAAATAATAAATCAATAAACACACAGAGCACAATGTAAATTTTCCCCCCAAGAAGTTTGCCTTTCAAAAATATCCCCATAAAAAGTCACAGAAGCACGTATCTCTGTTTTTACAATAAGGCACTAACTTCTGTTCTACGTTTCAGTTCCCTTGTTATGTAAACTCAGTCAGTAATTTAATTTGTAGACTAGATCCCATGGGACCTCAAATAGCTGATTTGAAGGCAATGAAGGGATGCATCAGTGGTTCAGATGTCTAGGAAATGGATGGAAATGGTATTCATGAGATCCCCAATTCTAAGGATTTAAGGATCTGTTCCCACTTTGGGTTCAAGGATAACAGCTCTGAAGGAATCAATGAACACTATAGAAACAGGCTTTTGTTAGAATTTGAACTCTTTTTATATAACATAAAGAAGATGCCATATGATTATCTGTTGGTTGAAGTAATATAATGTGTCAGACTTCCTGCAATCTGCCTTCACACAATAGTGAGTATCAGAATCTAGTGGAACAAAGGCAAGGATTCCAAAAAGAACAAAAACCAGCCAAGGACATGAAGCTTCACCCTTTGCTGAAACAACAGTTTCTCAAAGGATGGAGGGTGACAGTTGATTCTGGTGTTACTGCTTGATGTTTTAGCAAAAGATTACTGCAGATATACCTGTGTTGAGTCAGATGAGGACTTCGTTTTTGTTTTCTTTTTGTACACGGCACTCACTGCCCTGCCAGCTAAGACTGTTTATCAGAAGCTGGCTACAATAGCTTACATGGGAATTCTTCCCCTGGGAGCCTGAACATCCAGGAACAATAAGAGACTGCCAAGAATGCCTGGCCTCTAGCTGTGCCTGCTGAAGCTTCCCTGGTTACAATGAAAACAAGGAACAATGCATCAGTGTCCTCAAAAACCTTTCCTCCTCCCTGTGTATTTAAAGGGTAACTTTGAAGACAATATAGAACTTTAAATCTGAAAAAGAAGGGAAATTACCACTTTGTCAATTACCAGAGGTAAGAACTGAGAATAAATCCACAGAGCTGTCTAAAAATGGGAGATGGAGACTGTAGGGTCTGTGAAAGAAAGCCCTTGACAGAACTTGGATTTCACATACGAATTTTGTTTTTGATCTTCAAGGCTCAGGAGGCCCCTCACATCTCTACTACTCACCCACAAGGAGAAAGTAATTTCTGAACTTGCAACTTTGATACCTTTCAGTTGCAAATTATCAATAGGGACTTTATCCCATCTGTGCAGCATCATCTGACCTGGAGAGGACATTGTCCAGAGGTGGCAATGGAGAAAGGATTGGCTTGGTTTTGATTCTTAGGGGGTCACTTTTGAAGCCATGTCTGCCTACAGAAGGGAGACACTCAAAAGAAATGGCAAACTGGAATGCAAAAACTGAGATAAGTCTCTGTCTCCCTTTCCTTTTGGGATTCTTCTTAATGGACTTTCACTATATATGAAGGGGAATTACCAAAAGATTTGGAAACATGGCTGACATTTTTTATAAAGGGCCTTCTGTTTTGTAAAGAGCTTGTTGGAGGTGGGAGTGGGTTATATCTTGGTCTATGCCTTGCATATCTTTTGCTTTTTCTTATCTAGTTTTAATTATAGTCTTTTCCCCTTCCTTGATCACACAGAAACATTGCTGCTGAATACTAAGGTAGAGGGGGTGGGTGGGAGTGCAGGAAGGGCTAATATCTGAATCTTTATGGAATAACATTGGTTGTCAAGGTCAGCCCTACAGGTGGTGTGATCTGTAGGGGCATAAAAAGCATGCCTGGGCTCTAATCATTTACTTCATTGTGAATGGGATGCCACAGTGAAGACTTCTCAGTGTAACTAAAGTTTGGGATAAGACTATCCTAAATCTGGTAATAAGTTCAGGAGGTAGGATAGGGTTAAGTATAGATTTCTGTAAGTTTTTTTTTAGTGTCATATATCAGTAGTTAAAATTTGTCTAGTTGTTAAGCCTTAGCCTATCTTTTAATCTTATTCAGATGCACCTTTGCCCCTCATCCTGAAAGAATCTGGCTCCTGTTTGTCTACAGGCCCTAGAAAACCCTTAAAATGTTCCTTATCTACTCCCCTTATCTCCCTTTGAAAGGACCTTACTCAGATGACTTCCAGTTCCCTCCATTATCTATTCCCATTGTCTATTCAATCTCTCAGACCTTCCAAAACAGTTGTAAACTATCTTTCTGTCATGGTGGCCTGGCTCAACAGTACAAAGTCTAGCTTGACTGCACATTTTTAATTGCTTCTTTGACATTAGCTCAACAAACTAAGAAATATAGAGATGTATACTATTTCCTTTGTTCTATGGTAGAGTCTCACATGTGAGATTGTGAGCTGAGTCAATGGACAGGTGGTGGGAGGGGGAATTTACCCATTAGGGCTATTTAACCTGGCTTTCTGCTTCTGTGTCTTTGTCTCCCCTCATCAGCACATACTGGTGGAGGGACACCCAAATCTCGAGATTTGAAATAATAATAATAAATTAACTTTCTGTTTCTCCTTGGATACCTCTGTGTTTTTTTTTTTTAAATTTGAGTGGCATCCCACACAATTGGCATCTTTCTAACTAGGAATTTTTCCACTTACTGTATACTGGACCTGGAGCAAGTAGCACATAGCAAACATTCAGCTGAGGTGGTCAGCCTGCTGTGAGGGAATGACAAAGAATGACACAAAACTGATGTAGGTGAGGTTTCCATGGAGGTGGGGGGAAGGGAGAGGAAG